ATGAGATGGTTGGACAGTGTCATAGACCCAACGAACATGAAATTGAGCTAACTTCAGAGGACAGCGGAAGACAGGAGGGCCTGGCGGGAGCTGGTCCATGGAGTCGCGAAGAGTCGGACTCGACTGTGCGACTGAACAACAACAACAAAAGAGATACAACATTTCTCTCTAGGCTTGTTGGCACCCTAGTCTTGGCCCCAGACAAGTTCTAGATATTACTGGAAAAGAAAACAGACAAGTCAGCACAAAATCAAAATACACACAAGCTGATTAATGGTGAGCTATTTACAAAGCAACTACCAAAGTATTACAATCAATTTCCCAGCAGCTGATACAAAATAATGTTGTTTCCAAGGAATTGTGAGTGGAGCTCATGGAGCAGCTCCTTCCTCCCTCCCATTGCAGCCCACCCAACCCGTTCCGAAGGCATCAGAGAATCCTCATGAACAGCATGGAGAACAAAGTGTTCTACAGCTGGAGGATGGAACAGGCAAAAACTGTCTTCCTTCTCTGCCAATGGAAGTGCCATTCCCACTGACATAAGAGCACCTTTGGATCCAACCCAATGTTCATCTCTTTACACAAAACCAGGAGGAGGAGATTGGATTTATACCCCACCCTTCACTCGGAGTCTCAGAGCAGCTTACAGACTCCTTTCCCTCCCCCTCCCCACAACAGACACCCTGTGAGGTAGGTGGGGCTGAGAGAGCTCTTTCAAGAACTGCCCTTTCAAGGACAGCTCTTCCAGCAGCTGCAAGTGGAGGAGTGGGGAATCAAACCTGGTTCTCCCAGAATAGAGTCCGCACACTTAACCACTACACCAAACTGGCTGACCTTGTGAGAATTCATCTTCATGTGTATGAAAAAGTAAACCCTGGCCCAGGAAAAGCTTATGCTGGAATAAAATTCTGTTAGTCTCTAAGGTGCCACTGAACCCCTCTTTTATTCAACTAGAGAAAGGGGCTACACTAACTACAGTTTTCCAGCTGTCATATCCACCAACATGTGAACCACTTTAGGTTCCTTTTTGATCGAAAGGCAAAGCTTAGAAGTGTTTTTAATGTGCAACATAATGCAACATATATGCTTCTGCTTGTTACTGTAAGCAGATAATCCTGGTAACTTGGTAAGCAGTATCACTTATAAATGGAGGACAGAACAAACTGTGGTTGTCAGTTTTTTGCCCAGAGATCCTGGTAGCTCTCGTGCAGCCAAGTCCTATGCATATTTACAGGGGTCGTTTTGTAGAAAAAGAGCAAGGGGAACTCATTAGCATAACTCATTAGCATATGCCACACCCCCTGACATCACCGGAAGTGTGTCATAAGGCCACACACCCCACCCCCAACGGTCCCGGCCGCCCCCGGCGGTGGACCTGCAAGGCCGGCAGTAGTGCAAGGAAGCCCCGCGAAGGTCCTCCCTGGCCCCAGGCAGGCAGGGGTGGGGAGAGGCAGGGAGGAAGCAACTTACCCTCCCTCTTCTCCTGCCTCCTCCTGGCTGAATGAGGGCCGGAAGCGGGGCGGCCGGAAGCAGGGGGCGGGGCTTCGTCATGTGCCCCGCCCCCATACCTCACCCGGGGGAACTGCGATCCCCCACGACCCCCCCGAAATGACCTCTGCATATTTAGCTGGAAATAAGTCCCACTGAATCAGTGCTACTCCCATGTGTTCCTAGGGCTGCAGTCTTAAGTGTCCCAAGGCAGAAGGAGACTACATAGCCTCCACACCTGCTGACTTGTTCCCCTCTAGTCCCTCCATCCACTCCACACCCCATTTGCTGTAGTAGGCTGGGGAGGTGAGAGCAAGAGAAGTAGAAGGAGACACTGTGGCTGCATAGTACTCTTAATGCCTTACAACAATGGGAGAGAAGTCCCAACCTCAAGAAACCTAGTGGTAAATAATTACAACTTCATTTCTGTCACTATACCCTCGCACTGTGATTTACATGACAAAACCAGAAGCAGAACATGTTCACACTCAGCCCAGGCAAAAAGCCTTGACCTCATGCACCTTCCTCAATCAGATATACAACCTAAAATGAAAGCCAGGGCCAGCACCCCAGTTCTCATTATAAAGTATATATGTGATACATGTCTCTACTTGGGGATAAACTATGACCCCAGGCTGGGTGCGGATTGAATTTCTGGATTAATATTTCTAACACAGACTCCATTCACACAATTAACTGCAATAACAATGTCACGCATTAGTATTTCCATATTTTAACAATTTATTTCAATATTTTCTACAGCTTGCAATTGATTTTCAGGTAATAATTTAAGAGATTTATATACACCCCAAGGAATTATGGAGCAATTGGCAAAAAACGGAATGCTATGCAAAGTATACAGGAAAAGGCAGCAAGGTATCCTATACCAATGGAAGTCAAATCCAACCAACAAGACGTCCCTGGCACAGTTCTTAGGACTACTACTCTTTACTTGGAATGTATAAATAAGCACACAGGGCAAGCTATTCAAGTATACACTGGCAGATCATATTAATCGAACAGAAGCTTTTTCCCCTTTTATTTTAGTTCATGCCACAGGATCTGGTTGTAGTGCTATATTTTGTAGCATAGTATATAGTCAATGATCCCAAGATTTTTTTAATGGAAAAAGTTGAACACTTTCACCACTGCACTCAGCTGTTTCCAGTACCATGTATATAGGGAGAATTTATTTGAATAGTTTTGCATTTTAGAAACAGACCAAGTATGAAGTCCTGTTAAAAGAGTGACATACTAGACATAGAACAAACAAAAAATAGTCACATATGCACCACCCCCACCATGGGATGATTCTGTGCCTGAACAGAGAGGGAGCAGAAGGTGTGGAAAGAGTAAAGACTGAACCATTGAGAGCACGCAAACTATGAAGCTCTCACTGCATAAGAGCATTTCTTCTCCTGAATCCTCTTTTTTGCTGCCGTCCCCCAATATTTTGAGCAGCCTCTTTCTGCCTAGCACTTGATGCTACCACCCCTCCCAGGCCACTGGTAAACAGATGATTTGCAGTCCAAAACCAAGAACTTTAGCATGACTGTCCTCTGAGACTGCAGCAGCACTTTGTGAACAGCCAGATGTATTTGGATGGCAGGACATTATGACAAGAGGACTTAAGCACAGACCAACTAAACTAGATTTGCCAGAGATATCACAGCATGATCACTGGAGCTACTATGCTGGGATTTAGTGGCACTACCAATGATATTAGGTTATGAATTACCATTTTAAACTTTTCATGCAGCAATAGAATCCTTTTTTCCTGTAAGATAAAGAGTTTATTATTAAAAATGCACACCTAGGCATTCAGCAGCACTCACAGAATCCAGCCAGCTGTATGTACCACTCTCCCTGGTTAAAACAAGAATTAGTATCCAAGAGAAGTAGTCCTCCTCTGCACACCTAACAAACCCTTTGATATCTTCAAGAATGTTTGACTCAGATAATATAACAAAGTATGTAAACAATGTCTTGTTTCCTCCCAAAATATTTTATCACTTATACTTAAAATAAATAGCCCTATGAAGTATGGCAAATAATATTTAGTACCAAGGTTTGGACTGAGGACTTACAAAGTTAAAACATACGAACTTTGCAGGTTATACACGAATGTTGTACTCTTTCCAAGAAAGGCAAAGCTATAAAACATTGGGGGTGAGGAGGGGATTGTCTTGGCCAATTGTGCCATTATCTTGTGTTTCTGTTGAACACACAATCATTTCTTTTGCCAAACCCCTTCTTGGTCTCCACAGTAAGCTACAGCCAAGTGACTTTGCTAGTCCTAACCACGAATGGGCAGAACTTGCATATGAGTTGTGAATGCCAGATATCAATCTGATTTGCAGTTAAGAGTCAAAGTATTTAAACTTTAGATATTTTAAAACCACATTTGTAGGAAATTTTAAGCACCATTTTTATAGTACTTTAAAAGCCTAATTTTAAAAATAATTAGTTTAATATGCAAGGCTTGATATCTATTTCAAGAAAGCAAGTTTGTTTACAAACCAAAATGAATGGCTGTGGGTACTGCAGCATACCTTCAGAAAGGCGCAATCCACCCAACACTGCCTCTGCATATCCACCATACAGTTATGAAGATGCTGAACATCAGTACGGTGGAGAATGCTCACAGTTTGCAATGTCAAGTCATTTATTTCAGAAGAGGAATGTAAACCCTTATTGTCATTTGCAAAACACAACCCAACTTCAGCAAAACAAAAACATTCATACTAGAAATGGGCTCCCCTCCCCATACAAACACTATTCGCAGCCATTTTGCAATAAGCATATGTAACTTCTTTTTCCACAAGAGATGCTCTATAGCAAAACAAAAGAAGTGCGCTGGCATACATATTGTCCAACTTTAGGACCATAACTGACAACTGATATGTAGTGGTTTTTCCATGTAAAAAGTTACATCCAACTTAAAACAAAACCAACATTCTGTTTTGTTCTGAATTTTAACATGTTCTGTACATTCAGTCTTTAAAACACACTTCAATATAGCTGCACAATGTTTTGCTCTGGAGAAGTGCAGTCCAGAGACCATGCTTCTCAGTACATTTAAAATACATTAAATACAACCCAACCAGTCTCAATTACCTTTGGTAAAAACACTGGCTGACAGGTGGGAAGGATTTTAAAAGGGAGGCTTTTCACAAAACACACTACCTACAAGTCTCAGACAACTTCCTCAACCTCTTCTATTTAATGTTTCCTTGCATATGTACAGGATTTCACATTGCCACTTCTGCAACAAAATCTTATGCAACATGCATGGAGTTAACTGCCCATTCAACCAACAGCAAACCCTGAGGATTTTTCTGGTCCATCGGAAAAAGGAAACAAAGCAATTTCTGCAGTACACTTGGTCTTCCAAATCAAGTGTCTTGGTTTTCGTGGATGTTTCTTGGACATGTCCACATATTTTGCCCATGCTTGCCGTTTAACCTACATGCAGCTTTCTCCACATTATTAATTTGATCTTCAAGTCCCGGTAAAAAACAATGTCATCCATCTAAAGGCTTCCCCAGGTAAACTAACGTCACCTCAGTGTTGCCATACACAGCAGATACTGCTGGATATAGACAAGTCTTTGGCAGTCCTCGGAATGCAACTCCTAGGAACTCATAGCCTCGCTCAAAAGCGAGTGTCTTATCTTCCATGTCTAAGATGACACGAATTCTTTCACCTATCTGTAAAACAGAAAAGATGGGGGGGGGGGGTCAAAGAACAAGGCAGATATGAGACATAACAGCACATGAGGAGAATGCACAAGTAAGTACCTAGAAGAACTCTTCTACTTCTAAGATTCAGTCTTCAAATTGTCATGCAGCAGGCTCTAAATGGCTATATTGCCTTAATTTGAATGGAACACCACCAATGTATAGTTATCATGATGCCCTACAGGGCAATGATGAAAGAACCTATATTACCAAAGAATTAAGAAATAACATTCATATTAATATTGAGAGAACCATTTTGACAACCAACTTGGTAAAGAAAGTAAGCCTATGCCTAACACTCATTTAACAATATTGTATAATCAGAAAATGTCTTTGTTTTAATGTTGTGGAATATCTGGATGAAGTTCATCCCCCTAGTGTTTATTTCATGAATATTTTTTTCTCTCTTTCACTCC